AATAGGGGACCCTGTGGGACAGAGAGCATGGAGAAAATCCCTATTATTCTGTTTCCTTTTTTACTCTCCAGGCCATACTCCCCAAGGCAAGTCTCAGTCACAAAGCAGCAATCTGTTGTATCAGGGACTGTGGTGGCTACGTAGGCACCTAAAAATCTGAGACAAGACAAACTCTTTCTCTTGGAGCAGAGGAACAGGGAAAGAGGACTTTGGGAGTCCAAAGAGTAAAGGGGGAATCGGATTGGCTACATAATTTGTGGGGCCCAGTGCAAAATGACAATGCAAGGCTACTTGGTCAAAGATCAAGAAATTCAAGATGATGAACACAGGGCATTAAACCAAGTGTGAAATCCTTTTAAAGGCAGGGGCCCATGTGACCACACAGGTTACATGCCCAGGAAGCCAGACCTGGAAGGAATCCCTGTTGCTCTTTTCTTCTCTTTTTACTCTCAGTGGTCACCCTCGAGTTAGGCCCAGTCACAAGAAGTGTATAGGAGTATAAGGAGGCTAAAACCCTGGCTTTGTAGCCAGAGGACCAGAAAAAGAAGCTGCTGGGTGAATGTGCAGCACACTGGTGAGTGTGCAGGAAAACACGGAAAGGAGGGAGCCAGAGAAAGTGATTCCCTTCATCCCTGTGAATGAAGTCTGGCCTTAGCCCTGAGCTGTACACGTATGGAACTGATGTGAAGCATCAAAGTAAAGGCTTTGAGAACTACTGTGTAGACAGACCACGGTCTGGCCCCTGGGTAGCATATAAGCAAGGTGAAGCCAAATATCACTTCAAAGTCTTTGAAAACTAATCTGATACTAAGACCATGGTCTACTGAAGGTATATCAGGACTTGTAGTTTGAATCTAATCAGATTGCTCGCTAAAATACAAAAGTCAACACGCTCCAGAGGATTTTAACAGGCTCCAGAGTCTCATAAAATAATATTCAAAATGTGTAGGATACAGTCTAAAATTAATCAACATACAAAGAACCAGGAAAATCTCAACACTGCTCAAGGGAAAAGACAACAGATGCCAACCCTAAGATTACAGAAATTATGAAAATATCAGACAAAGACTTTAAAGCAAGTGTTATAACCATCCTCTGTGAAGTAAGGGAGAACACTGTTGAAACAAATGGACAGATATAAGTTCTTGGCAACGAAGCTGAAGGAATAGGAACCAAAGAACCAAATGGAAATTTTAGAACTGAAAAACCCCACTGGAGAGGTCCAATGTAAATGACAGAACACAGTCAGTGAACTTGAAAACAGATCAATAGGAACTATTGAATCTGAACATAAAAGAGAAAAAACGATTTTAAAAAATGAATAGGGCCTCAGAAAATAGTGGGACATATATCAAAGTGTCTAACTTTCAGGTCACTGGAGTCCCAGAAGGGGAAGAAAAAGAGATTGGTACAGAAAAACATTTTTGAAAAAGAAAACTTCCCAAATTGTAAAAGACATATATTTACAGATTCAAGAAATTAAGTGAATTTCAAACAGGACAAATTCAAAGAAAACTAATCCAGACAATACAACTGCTGAAAACCAAAGATTTTTAGAAAAGTATCTTGAAAGTAACCAGATAAAAAACAACATCACATATAAGGGAACAATGATTCAAATAACTGCAGATTTCTCACCAGAACCACTGAGGGCAAAAGGAAGGGATACCATATTTTCAAAGTGCTAAAAATAGACTGCCAACCTAGAATTCTATATTGTGCAACAACATCCTTCAGGAATAAAGGCAAAAAATAAAGATATTCTGAGATAAAAAAAAAATGAAAAAAATTTGTCACCAGTCTAAAAGAAATAATGATGGAGTTTGTTCACGTTGAAGGGAATGATGCCAGAGGGAAACTTGTGATTTCAGGAATAAGGAAAGAGCAACAGAAATGGTAGGTACCTGGATAGATACATTAGACTATTTTTCCCTTAGTAAGTTTATCAAAAGGGCCATGTGGCACTACTGAAAGCAAAAATTATAACATTTTTCTGATGGTGTTTTGATATATTTAGATGTATTGGGTTGGCTGAAAAGTTTGTTCGAGTTTTTCCTAAAAAAACCCGAACGAACTTTTTGGCCAAACCAGTAATACATATGGTCATTACAACAAAAAGGGGGGAAAGAAAAAAAAACTCTACAACTATAAGATTTCTATAGTTTACTAGAAATGATAAAATATTAACTGTAAGTAAACTGTGAAAAGTTATATATGTATACTGTAATCCCTAGAGCAACCATGAAAAGTATTATAGAAAGAGATATAGTCAAACCTCTGACGGGTAAACTAAAGTAGAATACTAAATAGTATTCAAAGAATCCAAAAGGAGGTAAAAAGAGAAAATGGGAAAGCAAAAGGAAGGGTAGAACAGAAAACAAATAATAAAATGCAGACCTAATAAACATAATAATTACATTAACTGCAAATGGTCTAACCACACCAATTAAAAGACAAAGATTGTGGTTGCCAGGGCTGGGAGCAGAGGGGAATGGAGACTGACTGCTTACTGGGCATAGGGTCTCTTTTTGGGATGATGAAAATGTTTTGGAATTAGACAGTGGTGATGAATGCACAATATTGTGAAGGCAATGAAAACCACTGAATTATATATTTTAAAATGGTTAAAATGGTGAATTTTATCTCAATAAAAAAATTAAAAGGACGGAAAAAAATGTATCACACAAATATTAATCAGGACAAAGTTGGAGCTCTAATATTACATGATTTTAAGGTAAAGCTTGTGTTATCAAGATATTTTGGTATCGTGAAAGGAAAGACACATTGATCAATGAATCAGTATAGGAAGTCCAGAAATTGACCCATATTCATATATCGATTAGCTTTTTAAAAGATGCAAAGGTAATTCAATGGAGAGTAGATAGTCTTTTCAACAAATGATGAAGGAATAATTGGCATCCTTAAAAAAATTGAACTTCAACCTATAAACACTTTTAACAGAAATTAACTCAGAATATATCATAGATCTAAATGTACAATGAAAACAAAACATTTAGAAGAAAATATAGGAGAAAAGTCTTCGTGACTTTGGAGTAGGCAAAGTGTTTTAGATAAAACTAAAGTTTTAGATAAACTAAGTAGGATCCATAAATGAAAAATTTTGATATGTTGAACTTCATCAAAATTAAAACTTTTTCTCTATGAAAGACAATGTTAAGAGAATGAAAAGACAAGCTACAGACTAGAGAAACTATTTGCAAATTACACATCTAATAAAGGATTTGCATTTGGCATATATAAAGAATTTTTAAAACTCAGCAATAAAAGACAACAACTCAGTTCTTTAAAAATTCACAGATTTGAACAGACACTTATACCAAAGACGATATACAGATGTCAAATAAGCCCATACAAAGATGCTCAAAATCAATGGTCATTAGTAAAATGCAAATTAAATCACAATCAAATAGCACTACACACCTATTAGAATGGCTAAAATTTAAAAAAACACTAAAAACACAGATAAGAACCAGCAAAGATGCAAAGGAATTCTAACACTCATACATCCGGTGGGAATGCCAAATGGTATAGCAATTCTGGAAAACTGTTGGGCAATTTTCTATAAAGTTAAACATACATTAACATGTCACCTAACAAACCTACTCCCAGAGAAATGAAAACATATGTTCACACAAAACCCTGTACACAAATGCTTACAGTAGCATTACTCATAATCGTCAGAAACTAGAAACAACCTAAATGTCCTTAAACAGGGGATGGTTCAACACATTGTGGTACTGCTCATACAGTGGATGCTCAGCGGTAGAAAGCAGCAAGCTCCTGATGCATGCAACCACGTGGATGACTGTATATGCAGCTAAGTGAAAGAAGCCAAGCTTAAAAGGTTACATACTGTATGATCCCATGTGGATGGCATTCTGGAAAAAGTGCAACAATAGAGACAGAGAACAGAAGGTGGATGCCAGGGGTTAGTGGGAGTGGGGGGAAGTTGACTACAAAAAGGGCAGCACAAGGGAGCTTTTTATGGTGGGGGAATTGTTCTGTGTTCTGATTGTGGTGCATCTATGACTCTGCACTTCTCAAAACTTAAAGAGATGTACACCAAATAAAAGTGAATTGTACTGTATATAAATTAAAAGTAAACTTAAAAAGCATAGAGGTACAAACTACTACTTGCAAAATAAATGAGTCACAGGTATGAAATGTACAGTACAGGGAAAACAGTCAATAACTATGTAATATCTTTGTATTGTGACATTTATCATAACTAGACTTACCATGGTGATCATTTTGAAAGCCATAGAAATATCGAAGTACTATATTGTAAGTAATAGGAACTAACATACTGCTGTAGGTCAATTATAAATATAATTAACACTATTCTATATATGAAAGTTGAGTAAATCCTGAGTTTTCATCACAAGGAAAAAAATTATTTTCTATTTCTTTAATTTTGTATCTATATGAGATGATGTATGTTCACTAACCTTATTGTGATGATCATTTCATGATATATGTAAGTCACATCATTATGCTGTACACCTTAAACTTATACAGTGCTGTATGTCAATTATACCTCAATAAAACTGGAAGAAAAAAATTATACACAGCACTATCCTTCCTCAAGTGTGGAAGTAGAGACTATATAATAATCCATTGTAAATAAACTGTACTTTCCAGTTTAAAACTCCTTTATGTTTCATAAAAATCCTGTAATTTAAGTTGTATACCTCTATTTATCTTGATTTTTAAAGATTAATAAAGACATGTTGATATGAAGATAAATGTTTAACAAATGTACTGGGACAGGAATAAAACTCTCCCGACTGCTCTAACCTCTCTGCTATAACCTACTTTCTCCTGCTGGTCCAAAGTGAGGTCAGAGGTTAGTTTCTCCACCTGACCCAAGTGAGGTCAGAGGTTAGTTTCTCCCGTGCACACAGAGCCCAGAGCTCCCAGCTCCTGTTCAGAAGGCCACCCACAGCACCTTGGAAAGTCTACCCCAATTGAAACCTTACCACACCAATGCTTTCAAATGAAAAAACGGCTGTTCCGAAGAAGAGCGAGTAGGTCTTCCAATTTGCTACCAGTGGCAAGCGGCTGGGGTCTGGAATTCCCTATGGGGGAGAGAAATGTGGTAAAGACATTTTCTCTCAAAGCATGTTTGGGATCCCTTAAGAGAAGAGTATTCTGAGAGTAAAGCTGAATTATAAAAAAAATTGAATATCAAGTAATTCAGAAAACTTCACAAGGAAGTAGGCCACAATCAGAGTTGATTTTAACGCTTCCCAATAGCAAAGAGCCAGAGGAAAGAAAGATTAAGGTATTCTCAAAGTACTGAAGGATCAGGGATCTCACAGAGGGAGTCTGGTTTATCAGAATCCTTCAGAAGACAATCTTGCCCACCACAGGTTAGTACTAGCCTAAAGTGCCCAAGAACACTTTTTTTTTTTTTTGGCGGTACGCGGGCCTCTCACTGTTGTGGCCTCTCCCGTTGCAGAGCACAGGCTCCGGACGCGCAGGCTCAGCGGCCATGGCTCACGGGCCCAGCCGCTCCGCGGCACGTGGGATCTTCCCGGACTGGGGCACGAACCTGCGTCCCCTGCATCGGCAGGCGGACTTTTAACCACTGCGCCACCAGGGAAGCCCCCCAAGAACACTTTGAATGTACCAGTGGTTATAGACGTGGGAAATTACTTTGACTATAGTTACAGTGATATTCTAGGGAGCCCAAAGTAATTCGTTACATATGAAAGTCCCCTTTTCTTCTTCAATGAGCTGTAAACAGAAGAAGAAAAGTGTGTGGAATAAATATTTTATGTACCCTGTGACCTAGTATGTGAAAATAATGACAGAACAATTTCTCTAATTGAGCAACCTCTGGAATAGTCCAAAAATAAATCAGAGGTAGCTATTTCATTGGGAAATTCAATTTTGTAGAATCTATCAATATTGCCTTAAGACTTATCTGTGGTTATCCTAAAATATTTGGCTCATGTCTTATTTTTACTAAATTCCATGGACAAAATAATGTTTTTTTCTTGTGACTTCTGAAAGAGGAAAACATCTGAAAGGTATTAGGCATGCCAAGGGTCTTCTGGATTTAAATTTCTACGTAGGCTTGTCCATTATAAAATGAAAATTAGAAAGGAGAGAAAAGTGGGAAACTGAGGGAAAATGAATATCCATACTCAACTTCAAAGACGTGTGATTTACATCATGATAGATTTGTTTGTGGTCTTTCAAGACTTTCTATTTATACCTCTGTGACTAAATATTAGTTGTTGTTGTTTTCTCTTGAGTTCCCTAGGGGTAATTTTGCAATTACTTGGAATTATAGCTTAGAGTATGTAAGACTAGTTCAATAAGGTTTAGCTGTGGTAGAAAAATCCTGCTTTTTATCTGCCTTTTGCTGCTATCTAACCATTACAGGAATGGTCTGTAGTTAACCAATCAAGATATTTTCCTTGCAAAGCATAATTTTTTTCTAAAACCAGGACTTGACATAAAACGAGTATTGGAGAAGCAACATCAAAGAGGAGATACCCAGAAAAATGAGAGTGCGCAGAGACAGCTTTGTGGAAGAAATGTTACAGTAAAGTGGGCTCTAAGCTGAAGAGGGAAGTGCATATATATCTACCCTCAGGGCTGGCCCCAGGTGTCAGTCTATCATTGATAAAAGGCTCTGCCCACTAGAGGAGTGAGGAGTGTGGTGTGCTAACCTGGATGATGGACTGGGTGATGATGATCAAGCTGACCAGCATGGTGATGTTGGCCAACAGGGAGAAGATGGACAGGGCTCGGAGGTTTCTGACGAACACCAGAAGCACCAGGAAGGGCAGGAAGGCGAGCATGTAGAGTCTCGAGTCCATGGTGGGCATCAGGATCACTGTCCTGTTGTAATGGCAGTTGTTGGTTGTGCTATTAACCGCTTCCACTACCTGGGAGACGAATGGGAAAAGCAAGGAGAAGATTCGATGAATTTTCTGGCCACATCATTAGCTCAGAGCCTGGCCCATAATCAGACCCCCTCACAAAAAGCTGGCATGTCTCACGTGCCAGGGTCTTAGAGTGAGTTAGAGTGACTTTAGGATTTCTTATTGTAAATCTTCTGCACCATACTTCCTCAAAAGAGGCTGCAGAAATAACTTTAATAAAAAACGAACTTAATAAACATAAATACCTAAACTTAGAGTGGCCATTCATTAGCTTTTGGCAACGCAGAATCCATTCCTCCTGATTTTCATTTATTTTTGGCGCATTCTCTCTCACCTGAATACAACCTTGGTGGACTGTAAATCACAATCATGTGGCAGAGCCAAAGCACTGCCTCTGACTCAAGCACAGGCACTCACATCTCTCCCTGGAATGTGAATCTAAATAACAAGCAAAGTGACACAAGGCAGACCTAGAAAAGGGTAAACAGTAATTACAATAGGGAATCCCTGAGGAGACTGCTCATCAATTCTATCGACATGCCCCTAGCTGCCCTGGTTCCTGTTCCTGTCCTTTTCTGAGACCCATTTTTTTTTTTTTTAGTTTTCTCTGTCATTTTGGAAGTTAGCTAATATTCTTCCACTAAACTCATTTTCTGCTGAAGTTCCACTGAATCTGTTTCTTTTGCTTATAACCAAAAAAGCTCATCACTTACTGTTTCTTAATTGGACCAATACTGACATTTTGAGTGAGAGAACTCTTCCTTGTGAGCATCTGACCATTCACTGCAGGACATTTAGCATCTCTGGACGCCACCCAGTAAAAGGTATTAGCATCTCCGCGTCACTGCGACAAACAAGGAACACCCCCTGCACGCTGTACAAATACCTCCCAGCAAAGTGGGGGTAGGAGGGAGGGTACCACCCTCCTTTGGAATCAACATGACTTAATGACTACAGTCTTATTGTGCAAGCAACACAGTCCACTGCAGAACAATTAGCAACTAGATTTAAGCAAGAAGAAAATGTAAAATCAATGATAATCTCAGTACCTATGGGTTGCCATGGTAATGCCTTGCAATATATTCATCTGTACATTTTCTATGCAGTATCACAAATTACATGTATTACACGCATCCTTTATATTTTACAAGACTGAAATTATAGTATACACTCTTATTTTGAAATCTCCTTTCTGGGACTTCCCTGGTGGCGCAGTGGTTAAGTATCCGCCTGCCAATGCAGGGGACATGGGTTCGATCCCTGGTCCAGGAAGATACCACATGCTGTAGAGCAACTAAGCCCGTGTGCCACAACTACTAAGCCTGTGCTCTAGAGCCTGCGAGCCACAACTACTGAGCCCATGTGCCACAACTACTGAAGCCTGCACGCCTAGAGCCCTGCACCGCAACAAGAGAAGCCACTGCGATGAGAAGCCTGCACACCGCAACGAAGAGTAGCCCCTGCTCACCGCAACTTGAAAAAGACCATGCACAGCAACGAAGACCCAATGCAGCCAAAAATAAATAAATTAATTAATTAAAAAAATAAATCTCCTTTTCATTTAACACATCATGAATACTTAAATAAATCATTGTCTTGTTTTTTTCTGATTCCTCACTACAGTAGGAAAAATACTTGGAACATTAGCCAGGTATTTAAGGCCTTCCATAAATGGACCCATTCAACCGTGAAAGCTCTTCCTCTCCCAAGGCCCACACCTTCTTCTACAACCACTTGTATTGCCTCTCCTGAGCAAGTCCCGTACATTCCTGCCTTCAGGTGTTTATTCCTCCTCCCACCTTGGCTGCCACTACTTCTCCAACCTGCCCTTCAATGCCCAGCTCAGGTGCATCTCCTCAAGGGGGGCTTCTCTTGCTCCAATGATCTCTCCTGCTCCCATACATTTCTGCCCCTTAGTTCACAATTAAGCATCCCCAACCTCAGGGTGTTAGTGGAGTCCTGACCCAACATTGACATATTATATGGATATTTAGCTTTTTATATGTCTTAGAGCACATCCCACTTAGTCTGCAAACTCCTTGAGACAGTGCTTACCTTGTCTCTAGACAGATGATTGATAAAGTTCTGCTAATGTCAGATTGATTTCCAAGCAGCAATCTGGCAATTAAGAGCCTTCAAATCAAATTCCTTGACCCAGTAATTTTACTTAAAAAATACATATACTAAAGTAATAAAGGGTTATACAAAGACTTGTACAGATTATAGTAGAAAAACAGAAAATATCAGATGATAAAAGACTAAGTCATCTGTATGATGGAAAATTATAAAACTATTAAAAATTACACTAAAAAATTTAAGGACATCTAAAAATGCTAATCAGTTAATTCTCATTTAAAACCATCCATGAGTGGTTGGATTAAGAATAATTTTGTTTTATTTTGAGAAGCAGTATAGCATAGTGTTTAAAAACTTGAGCTGTGATGTTAAAAAGGCCTGTGTTTTTAACCTTTGTTCTGTGACCATATTTATATACATTATAGAGTTCATAACATCAGTTTTCTCTTCTGCAAGATGGGAATAACCATAGTATCTACTCTGATAAGACCATGGAGAGAATTAAATGAGGGAAAACTTATAAAATGATCACTGTACCTGACACATAATAGAAGCTAATTCTGAATTCTTACTATTTTTTTCCTTCTTTTTAATTTTTTGTTTACATTTCCAAGTTTCTGGTATTACTATAAACAGAAAAAGAGCCCTGAAGAATAATTTTCTTTTTTAAGCTTATTGATTAAGGATAGCCTCTGTTATTACCCACATTATTTTGCTCCAAGATAAATATTGGGTTAGATCAGAAGAATTTCTTGGGGACAAAAAAACTGTTAAACCAAGGAGATTAAACAGCTAAAGGTAGATACAGATGGCCCAAAGATTAGGTATTATTCAAAAAGACCTGTATCAGTTTAAGAAGAGTTAAGGATGATTACATACCAAGGCAGGACGATTGACAAAATCCAAGGTTACTTCCAGCTCAATTTTAAAGACCAACCTTGAGGACAGGTCCAGTTTTAGAGACAACTCTTGGACAAAGAGTACTGTGGATAAAGTAACCACTTACAGAAATCTGCAGATATGTGAACTGGGGGAAGCCTGGGTTCTTTGATAACACTCAGTTTAACTTTCTTCATTGTATGATGAGGATACTAGGGCCCAAAGAGAAGAAGCTATTTGTTGAACAACTAGAAAAAAGAGGACCCTCCTTTTCCATGTTCTTTTCCCTCCCGCCTTCTCTAGAAGACTCTACCTGCTTTAAATTATCAGCCAGAAACACAATGTACACGCAGCAGAAGCCCATCTGGGTGACTATAAGAAAGAAGCTCACGATACGCCTGAAAGAGAGGAGAGAGAGAAAAAGAAAAAAACTTGTTATAAAAGAAGAGCTGGCTTGTCATTTCCATTTCTGTTCCCAGGGGTTGGTAACCCTCGACCAGCACCCTCGGTCCTGCTACCACAATCAACAATGGGGCAGTAGAAGGGATGTAACAATAGTTCTTTGAAAAACATGTTTCTCAACCACCTCCACACTCTCAACTCAGCAGTGGTAAAATTCTTCATCATCAGGAACCTTGCCCCATACCCAGCTCTGTGTTGATACTAACTGATGTAAGGCAATAGGCACAACTTATTAGCAATCATTAAAATTTTTTCCTACCATGTGCCAGACACCATATTCGGCACTGAAGATACACAGACAAATAACACATGGTCTTTTCCTCTAGTGGTTTAGAGACTAGTGGGTGAGATGGATAAAAAATAATATGGCGGGACTTCCCTGGTGGCGCAGCGGTTAAGAATCCACCTGCCAATGCAGGGGACATGGGTTCGATTCCTGGTCCGGGAAGATCCCACATGCCGTGGAGCAACAAATCCCACGCGCCACAACTATTGAGCCTGTGCTCTAGAGCCTGCGAGCCACAACTACTGAAGCCTGCACGCCTAGAGTCCGTGCTCCACAGCAAGAGAAGCCACCACAGTGAGAAGCCCGTGCACTGCAACAAAGAGTAGCTCCCGCTCGCCTCAACTAGAGAAAGCCCGCATGCAGCAACGAAGACCCAGTGCTGCCAGAAATAAATAAATTTAAAAAATAATAATATGGCACTAAGGGCCATGGTAAAAAGGGCATTTTATCCGAATTAAAGAGCAGACAGCCTTCTTAGAAAAAACCAATACCTGAGCGGGAGTCCCTTGGGAAGAGGAAGAAAGAGAGTGAGAGAAGAAAAAAAAGGAATAAAGAGGAGGGGCAGATGGTGAAGAAGTACTGAGGAAAAAGCATTTCAGCAGAGGGATTAGGCAGATTTCTCTAGCTGCCATGTGGAGAGTGCATTGGAGGGGGCAAGACTGAGGATGGGAAGACCAGATAATGGAGGTGAAAGATGGCAGCCACCTGGACAAAGACGTAGCTGTTAGGGTGAGAGAATTGAAAGCATTTTAAGAGATACTAGGGAACTAGAATTTACAGAACCTGGTGACTACCTACATCTAGGGGAAGGAAAAAGGAAGTGACTTAAGGTGAGTGACAAGTTTTTAGCTTGGACAACAAAATGAACTGGAAAACTCAGAAGGAAGAACAGGTTTTAGGGGAAGAGGAAGAAATGGCACATTCAGTACCTGTATTGTTGAGCTTGAGGTTCCTACAGGAGACATTCAGGAGACAACCACATATTGGGGTCTGGAAATGTTGATTTGTCAGTGATGGATAAAGCCTTGAGAAGGCAAATTAGTGTTGGAAAGTGTGCAGAGTGAGAAGAGAAGGCAGCATTCCAAACCCTAGAGAACACCAACATTTAAAGGGAGGACAGAAACAAAGAAGCCTGCAAAGCAATGACCACAGAGGTAGGTGGGAAACTAGGATGAAAAAGGGTTTAACAGAAGCCAAGTGAAGAGAGAATGTCTGAAGAAGAGAACAGTCAATTGTACCCACTGCTGCTGAGAGGTTCTCTAGGGCAAAGAAGGTACAATAGGGAGGTCCTTTAGGACATTGGTGGAAAGGACTTCAGTAGAAGTATAGGACAGGAAAGCCAGGTGACCCATGAAGGAGGTGTGAATGGGGTGTATGGATGTAAAATTAGAGGGTGGGCTATCCTTTCATAAAGCTAGAGTGTGAGTTCCAGTCTTGAAGGTGCCCGTTTTGTTCATCGTAGTAAACCCACTGCCTAAAGCACTTCCTGACACACTGCAGGTATTCAGTAGATATCTGTTGAATAATCAGATAATGAATATGAGATAGAGGACGGTATAAGGTCCAGGAGGCTTTATTAATTTATTTTATTATTTTTAAGATGGAGATACATGAACACATTTCAATGTTGAGAGGAAGAGCCCATAGTTCAAAAAAGAAGTTCAAGTTATAGGAGAGGAGATAATTAGTGGAGTGAAATTCCTAAATAGAGCAGGAAAATCTACCTTACATGCCCAACAATAAGTAGAAGGATCTGACACATTGCGACAGGCAAAAGCCACCTCTTGGGTCACACAATTGGGAAAATACTAGAAATCATCCCATAGCCTTCCTAGTCTGCTCATAGGCTGAATTTATTAATTCAGTATGTGAATGGGCTTTGGGTCAAGAGACGTGCCAGACCCACGATGCTCATGAGCAAGGCACGCCTCAGGTAGTGCAGTTTGGGGTATCACAGTTCAAGAGAGACTTTGATAATCTAGAGGTGAGTAGAAAAGAGTAGACAGACAGGGTGGGGAGAGGTGGGAAAACAAAGACCAAAGGCTAGGTTTAGTCCCAAGTACCAGGAGACAGAAGGCGTTGACTGTTTCCATCATCTCCAAAAGCAAAAAAGTGGAGGTTGCAGGAGGTAGACTTCAGCTCACCAAGGAACCCTCAACGTCTTGGTCTTTTTCTCTCTTTTCTTCTCACTATATACTCTCTCCCTAAGGGACCTCTTCTGTCCCCTGGCATCATAGCTGATGACTTCAGTGTCTCCTGCATGAAGACAGGTTCAAACCTATACATATAACTACCCACTTGACATCTCTGCTTGAATACGCAAAACAGAAGGCATCAGAAGCCTGAGTCAACCTCGACTCTTTCTTTCCTTTCCCCACAACCCTGGGGCCCAAATCATGACCAAATTCACTTTTCTCCATCCCCACTGCCACCAGCTTGGACCCAGCCATCACTGTCACCTGCCTGGACATTGTCAACAGCCTCTTCATGGGTCTAAGTCTATTCTTGCTCCCTTACAATCTCTTCTCCTTACAGAAGCCGGACAGATCTTCAGACAATGCAAATATGATTAAAACAGGAAAGCCTCTGATTAAAACCCTCCAATGGTTTCCTGGATGCTTTTAAGAAAAGAACAAGACCTTGAAGAGGGTCTAAAATGTACAGCTTGTTTGGGCCCTTGGATCCTTCTTCAGCATCATCTCCCTATCTGCCCTCAAGCTACCTGGTCGTTTTTTACCCTGAAACTGTCACATACTCCCTCTTGCCTCAGGACCTCATAGCTTGCTCCTCTTCCTGGAAGGCCCTTCAGGCTCCTGCCCACTTTTCCCTAGGTAATTCCTCATTCCTAAGAATGCCTTCCTTCAGAACTCATCTCAACTGTTCCATCCTAGGAAGCCTACCTGAACCTACGTACATCTCCTTACCTACTTGGTAGCAACTAGTACTTCTTTCCTTCACGGTACTTATCCCAGTGGCTATTAAGTAACTGTGTCCTAAACTGTTTAAGGTCTGTGTTTCCCATTGGACTATGGATTCTGCACAGGCAAAGCTTTGTTTGCCTTGTTCCCCACAGTATTTCTAGGGCCTGGTACATAGTCGCAACTAGATAAATGTGGTTTAATGAAAAAGTGAATGATATTCAAGTTGCATAGCAAAGGAATGAGAACCCTGTATATACAAGGAGTGGGGCTGGATCAGGAAGACTGCCATTGAATCCCTTTCATGTGAAGTCCAGCGTTCTGTGTTACACGAGCCAACTGTCCAGGGAAGAGAGCATCCCTGACAGCCACATGTCTTCCCTACTTTGGGCAAAGCAAAAACAAGGTACCTTCCCCAGTGTGCGTGGTTCCGGAGCCAGGTGCTGGGGCTGGCTTCTAGTCCATGCATCACCGTATCCCCGTAGTCCATAAAGGGCTTGTTAAGTCTGCAGGAGAGACTGCATACAGTTACCAAGAGGCAGTTTAAATTAAGATAATATACTGAAAAGTCAGGAGACCCATAGAAAGACAGAACCCAGCTAGAACGGAAAGAACACTGGGGCAGAAACCCAGGTTCTAGTTCAGGTTTTGACACCTGGTGGTATTTCCTCAGTGGCTTGTTTTCCTTACCTGTCAAGTGGGATGGTGACTATATAACATGGGTAATAATACACACCTTGCATGGGTACAGTGGTTCTCATATCCTTGATCCCATTGGATCCTCATGACAATTCTCTGAGGCAGGGTTAGGCATGGATTGTTTATGCCCAATTTATAGATGAGCCAAGCAGATAAGCACAACGGCCTGATTGAGATCACCTAATGAGTCATGTGGTAGAGCTGCATTTAGGTCCCTGCCCCAAATGCTTTTCTCTTTTTCTTGGCCTTGTTGGAAGAAATTAAGAAGTGAACCCTTGTTATATGTGGGATGCTTCTGGGATGTCCCTGAGAACCAAGTACCAAAGGAAGTGACAAGAGGACGGTGTTTTCCTCACCTGTGGCAGAAGCGCTGGGCACACCTGACCAAGATGTGCATACAGTGACAGGAGATGAAGCCCATGGCCAGCAAACTGAGAGGGCCCACCTGGAGGAAGGGCCAAGGGGCAAGGGAAGAGAGAAGAGAATGGACTTGTGAATAACTCGGCCAGGAGAGATTTGGTAGTGCAGATAATATTCCGGACTCAAAGAATTTTCTAGCAAACTGGTTTGCAAACCCTTTTCAGCAGTAACAGCGATTCTTTCTTTTCTTTTTCCTTTCTTGAAGTATACTTGACTTACAATGTTATCTATTCTTGCAAAGATGCCCTCAAGTCGTACTCTGGGAAAGTGCAAAAGGCAATCACAATGGGGTATTGTGGAAGGAGTAAGGGCTCAGAATTGCGGTCCTTAGTGGCCTCTGAGGTGCCCCTGAGAGCGAGTGCTCTACAGAGCACAGCTGGAAAACTAGTCGTAGTCCAACCCTTGCATTCCACAGGGGAGGAAGCTGAGGCCTGGACAGTGGACAACTGACTTGCTGAGGCCACTCAAAGTCTGTGGCAGGGTCAGAACTCAAACCTAGGCTAGATATCTAGACTCCAAGTCTGGACCAAGCTGCCTTTCCGAAAGATTGCTCACTGTAGGCTACTAAAAACCTTTAGAGGCTGTCCTCCTACCTCCTTGCTACCATCCAGTTGTACTGGCCCCACCTGTGGCAGCCCCTCTTACCAGGATGCCTGCATTCTTCATAGCCAGGGGTAGTCCCAGGACCCCTGTGCCTATGTTACCTTTCACCAGGTGAACCAAGGCCTGGAATGCTCTAAAGGAGAGGAAAAAGACATGAGCATATGGGTGTGCAGAGGTGAGGCGATCCAACAGGCATTCTGTCCCAGCGTGCCCACACCTGAGCTGAGCTGGATAGGTGGGCTCCTGGTTGTCTTTCAGTCTCCACGGCCTTTGCTGGCACTCTGGGTCTCGTGTAGGGTGACCAACCATCCCAGTTTGCCCAGAACTGTCCTGGTTTTATCAGCTAACACTCGATATATGCCATTAGAACACTTACTATATAACAGACATTATGCTAAGGATTACATGTATTATCTCATTTAATCCTCTTGTCAAGACAAGGAAGCAGGTTATTGCCCTTATTTTGCAGATGAGGAAACTGAGGAATAGAGATTTTTAAAAAATGACTTACCTAAGGATATATTGGGGAGCCAGAATTTGAACCCAGAACTGCCTCAGAGTCTTTGTTCTTCACCCAATTTTACTGGACTGCCTCCCGGAAAGGAGCCCAGAGAGATGGGTTAAAGGGACAGCCCCATTTCATAATTGAGGGAAATAAGGCTCAGAGAGGGCAGAGAACAGCCCAAGGTCATAATACTGGTAGCAGATATAGGACTGAACTCAGAGAAAAGGAGAAAGGGCAGGCAGCAAAGAGAAATCATTGTGACTAATGAAGAGGTCAAATGACTTGGTCCCCAGATGGGGTCTGTTGGGACAGGGTTGTTTAGGGTTTGGGCTCCAGAGGGATTTTTTTTTCCCTCAGGCCAGGACATCAAACTGGGGAATGGCAAGTCTCCTCCTACCTCCGGCAAAAACAAAACCCAACACTCAGACTTTTAAGACAGATGTGAAGGTGGTCCAGAAGACAAGGTCTAAGCCAGCCGGGGTAAAGTTCTAGGGAGGTATCCTCTCTGGTGGTGAATTAACTAAACAACCTACTTTTACACCTCTTTGTACCTGGACAAGGTTAAACTAAGATGAGTATCGGGTTAACATTTATAACTTGAGAAACCTTGGAAATTCCCCATGACAGCCTTCCAAGTGAAGAGACTTCCTATGAAGAACAGCAGAGGTATTATGGAAGGAGCCTGGTCTCTGGGGTTGGACAAACCAGGGATTAAAACCCAAGGCTGCACTTCCCTGCTGGTCCAGTGGTTAAGACTCCACGCCTCTACTTCGGGGGCATGGGTTTGATCTATTACTTAACTAGCTGTGTTATCTTGGGCAACATGTCCACTTTGCTGAGCCTCTATGAATGTTAGGAGGAATATTTTTGGAAGAACTGCCTCAAACATTCAGGGATTAATATAAATGTTCTTTATATTAATCCCTGAATCCTCTAGCTTCCTGAGGACCTGCCCATTTATTTGTTAAGGGTTAAAGAGAAAAACTGTGGGAGAAAGAGGGTGGAGAGTCTCTGCGTCCCTTTCTCTCTCCCTGTGGGTGTCAACATCGCTGATTGAGCACTGCACCCCACGGCCCTCCAATGATGGACTTGTTTTGCAACTAGGGTCAAAGGGTCACTTGGAACTTTCTAACTAAAGGACTTAGGAGATCTGAATTTAACTTTGGGCCACTCAGACAACTTAATAATGTGGTGAGCTGTGCAAAGCACTGGGCTGGGAGGCAGGAGACCTGGGTTCTAGCCTTAACTCCTTTGGTGACTTCGGAACGTCACTGTAGTCACAGAAGTCGGCTTACGGGCACTAAGCTTGGGGGCTTCCTGCACAATTTGTCTTTGCAGCCACCCTGGGAAGGAGCCAACTGTTATCTCACAGGGGAGAAACTAGAGTACTACGTTCTATCACTTGCTCAGGCTGGTAAGTAGCTAAAGTGGGAATTCAAACCCCGGTGAGCTAACTCCATAGGTACCATGCTTACCCAACCTGTTTATTGCCTCCCTCCAAGCCAGGAGCTAGTTCTGACTTGCTTTCTTTCTTTGATTCTTAAGTAGCTAAAGTTGCCATCAAACCATATCTTATTGGGTTGGCCGAAAATTTCGTTCGGGTTTTTCCATAAGATGTCACTATTCCAACCCAACCGTTCAGGACTGGTTCCCTCAAGGCCTCCGATGGAGAAATAGCCCACCTCAGTAGTGGATGGCCCCAAGGCCTGGAGATCTCACCCTCAGGATCCTGAATTCTTAGCAACCCTGGGGGACTAGTCCTGGGGCAAGTGAACCCGGTCACAACGTCAGTCATTGTGTCCATCCCTGAATGGTCCCACAGGGTGGCAGTGGGAGGAGCTTTGCCTGCCTCTTTCTCCCTCTTTGCTGCACACTCTCCCCCGACCCACACAACACTCAACCTTTCAGATGTAACTGCCACAGGCAACCTCCTTAAATTCACAATGTGTCCCCATTTTGCATATGGGGGAAACGGAGGCTTCGAGAAAGAAGGAGCAGACTCACACCTTGGATGCAAGTGACCTTTCTACTACACCGACAGGGTCAACATTTCCGTCATCAAGCTGCGGAATCTGACCACCACGTCAGCCAGTCGCCCCACCCATTTTCCTCAGTGAACTAGCCACGCTGCTTGAATGGTGGAGGCGAAGGGAGCTGGAGCTTGGCTTTCCTGCCGAAACTCTTCCAGTACACCCCTCCTTATCACGGTCTGAAAGCCTCATGAGTGACCCCCCCCCTTCCCCCCACACATACCCCAGGGAGGTGGAAGAAACTAGACTGTTCTACATACTGTGCTTTTGATGTTGTCACTGCAGTTGTCAATGGAAGTACAGGCCCGGGTAACTGCAGGAAGGAGGCAATGCTTGGTTGTCTGTGGTCTTAGCTCAAGTGTCACCTTCTCCACCAAGAGGCTGGGGATTCTGCCCCTCTCCCGGACATTATCAGGACTGGCCAGGAGTAAAACTGACTCTAGGGCTATACTTCAATGAAAAAGAAACAGACAGACAGACAGACTCTAGGGCCAGCACTGGAGTCCAGCCCCCATCCTGCCAATGAGCCAGTGCGTGGCCTGGGGTAACTTGCCTTAGTTTCCCCACCTGCACATGTTGGGGGCTACATCACTCTATCCTAAGGGCTTTCTGACAGTCTCCCCTCCTGCCCCTTTAAGTTCTCAAGTTGACTCAGTCTCTGACTGTACCTTTTGCAGCTCTGGTTTCCCCAAGGCTGCATGATGGGTTGGGGGTCAGACACACCCGCCTCAGGGTTTTTGCCACTGCAAGCTTCCAGGCTGGAAGGCAGAACTGGGGATGGCAGAAAAGAGCACTCACGTTATGCCCTTGGTCGTTTCCAAGTCCGGCGACTCAGAAGGGCTTCCATCCAAGAAACTGGAATCCTTGTTCTGAAACTTCTTGGCACTTTCGGAAGAGGGCTTGAGGTCCAGTTTGAGGTCAACAGCTCCCTGGGGACCCCCGGCACTCTTTGTCATGGACATGGCTGTTCACAAAGAGAGGGCTCCCGGTGATGGTGGGGTCTGCACTGAGCAGGAAGGTGTCCAGTCAGGTGCAAACCCCAGCTCAGCGGCGGCTTGTGCCCTTAGCAGGCGCGGGCCAAGCGAGAACGAGGCCCCGCCCACCTCCGCCGGAGGGTGCGCCTCCTGCCCCGAAGAAGCCCAGTGGAAGAGGAGCAATGGCCAGGAGGAGGAGGAGAGGAGGGGAGGGCACTGCGGAGGGAGTCATCCCCGCTTACCTAGCAACAGTAACGGCAACAGCGACTACGACACTGATCATTTTGATAACTACTATTTATTAATCATTTCACTAAGGGATAGATGCTCCTCTAAGTGCTTTACCTATATTTTCTCACTTAGTCCTATAAATTAACTAATGAGGAAATCAGGCTCTGAACTAAAGGGACCTGCCTAAGGTCACATACCTAAAAAAGTGACAGAGTAGGGACGAGAGCCCAACGCGTCAGGCTTTTTAGCCAATAACCTATTTCTACATCCAAGAGAATATCTATCCCGCCCTGCCACCTCCGTTGGGGCAGGGGCTCCGCTTCTCACTGGCTGCATGCCTGCTCTAAGGCATCCTTCTGGGAGCTCCCTTTCTTAAGCTGGAAAAAAAAGGAGCACTTACTCACCTCGAACTGCTTCTTAGCTTCTGTGAGGCTCCAGGGAGAGAGGAGTGGGGATTCTTTTGCAAAGGGACGGAGAGGCAGAGATTGTTCAACCCTTAGCCTAGCGCTGGCCTCAGGAGAGGGTGTGAGTTGCCTAAGGTCACATGTGGCAGTGAGGACAGAACTCTGCAGCTAAAGAAGGCTTTGGAGGTTTCCGTTCTCTGTCATTATCTCTGCTTCAGTGACAGATGAATGGGCCAAAATTTCCTCCTCCCTCAAAATTATAGCATTTACTCAGGACACACCATTCCCCATGTCATCATCTCATGTGCCACGAGCTTTATTTAAATGGTCTCACAGCTAACTGGTAGCATTCAAGACAGATTTGTCTGGGCCCCTCCCTCACACGGGACCCTTTCCAAGGTCCTACATGCAATTTTGAATTTGTAATTTTGTGTTCTTTTTCTTAAAGAGGCGCTCTCCACCCCTTACTGCTACCCCCAATCCCCTTCCCAGTGGTATAAGCTTCAGACTCCACAAAGCCTGTCTACTTCTCTGGGTAGCACTGTTATTTTGTTTTTACAGATGTGGAAACTGAGGCTCAGGGAAGTAAAGAATAGCTTGCCCAAGGCCGCAGCAAATCCTCTGCAGAGCCCAAACTCTACCCTAGTCAGATCTTTCTATCTCTGAAGGCTGAGGCTTTGACCACTACACTGACCTATTGGTTTGAATCCTTGCCCCACTCTTCAAGTTTCTTGCCCTGAATCAACTGAAACACTCACTGTGGTTTGAGAAACATCCTCTATTCCCTCGTCCAGCACCATTTACATGGCAGTATTCCTGGCCTGTGGGGCGGCAGAGATTCCATAATGTGATGTTAATCTCAGATCTCATCCACCGATAGTTCTTTATTCTTGTTCAGGCAACAAGATCAGTAAATAAGATTGTCTTGAGATGTTCAGATATAAGAATAGTTCTTGGGGGCTTCCTTGGTGGCACAGTGGTTGAGAGTCCGCCTGCAGATGCAGGGGACGCGGGTTCGTGCCCCGGTCCGGGAGGATCCCACATGCCGCGGAGCGGCTGGGCCCGTGAGCCATGGCCGCTGAGCCTGCACGTCCGGAGCCTGTGCTCCGCAACGGGAGAGGCCACAACAGTGAGAGGCCCGCGTACCGCAAAAGAAAAAAAAAAAAAAAAAGAATAGTTCTTGGGACTTCCCTGGTTGTCCAGTGGTTTGGACTTGGCGCTTTCACTGTGGTGGTGGCCCCAGGTTCAATCCCTGGTCAGGGAACTAAGATTCCACAAGCTATGTGGTGTGGCCAAAAAATATATATATATACTAGTTCTTGCTTTCTTCTCCAGGTTTGGAGAAGAACCCTGAGTTAATCTTCAAGCCTTTGGGAACAGGGCTGCTGGAATATCAGAATTTGGCTGGGGCCCTTCCCAGATATCATCACCTACAAGAAAACCTGCAGGGCACGGCCTGCAGACTTCCAACTTGTTGTACCACCTGTCAGCAGGCAAGAGGGATTCTTCCAGGACGAGAGCCTCCAAAATAAGCCCATCTAACACTGGTCCAGGCATCTGTAGCTCTGGGTTCCACTACAGCTCTACCATTGTGATCCTGGGAAAGGTATTGCTCCCCTTTCCCCCTTGGTGAAATAGGTACTAGATTATAGAGGGCCTCCACGGGACTGAGGACCCCAGGGCCTGTGCTTTTCATTCCCACTGGATGCTGAGATGCAGGTCCAGCTCCTCTTGGGTTGGGGCACATACAACTTATGTGAGGACAGCCTGAACTGCCTGACCTCTCCATAGAAGGTGGAACAAATGGGATTTAAGTAATGAGAATCTTTATGACCCTTTAAAGTAAACAGAGAACCTTGTGTTTTTTATTCTTTTATCGCAGTTTGGAAAGTTGGTGTGTTATCAGAATCACCTGGGGAGATAGTAAAGCACACAGAGACCCAGACTTATTGAAGTACGGAGAATTCGAGCCTTTCTATTTTTACCAAGTTCCCCAGGTGGTTCTGATACTGGCCAGAGTTTGAGTTCCACTACTCTATGGACTAGGAAGAATTGCCCCTCTTTAATAGATTAGAGAACTGAGGCAGACAGCCGGGGAATGCTTTGCCTGAGGTTGTACTGAGTTGGCCAAAAAGTTCGGATTCCTGTAAGATGTTACGGAAAAACCTGAATGAACTTTTTGGCCAACCCAATATAATCTGGTGGAAATGAACACAAGTACTCTTTTGGGCTGGAAGTTAGGGACTTCAAAAACAACCATGAAACCAATACTCAGGTGGAATTTATTACCCCATCCTTGTTTCCTCAGCCACCTTTTCATAGCCTGTGGTTGTTTACTATGGCTCTCCTGTTGCCTAGATAAAAATGATGATACACTCACATGTGCCTAGCTCTAGACTAAGTGTGTTACATAAGGTAGGCACTCTTATTATCCTCATTAGATGAGGAAACCGAGGCTCAGAAAAGTTTACTTCACTTGCCTAAAGGCAGGGATCTGATTTGAATCCAAGACTCTGAAGCTGTAGTTTAGTTATTCCCATGTTCCCTTATATCCCTAGTGCATAGTAGAAACTCTAGAATTAAAACAAAACAAAACAAAACCCTCCCATGTACATAGTTTATGTGGTTCAAGACTTTGGGGTTTCATGCATCAATCAAGTTTCCAAATGAATTTTAGGGCCTGCCATTCCAGTTCTGCAAGGATTAGGCCATGAGCCACTGCAGTCGCCCACTGACAGTTCACCCTGAAGGAAATTCAGGAAGCATTCTGTGCTTTGACTGGCTCTAGATAGTTAAAATGCATATCTAAAGAATAATTTCAATGAACTCAGATGCTTGCATCTTCCCATACAAAGGAAAACACTAAAATTGTTAGCTTGAGATGTGTGTTCTTTGTGATTATCTTTTGATGCTTGACTATGTGTTTTTTTTTGTTTTTCCAGCAGAAAAACTCATATATCCTGGCGCCTCCCTTATCTCTTTGGATAAGATACCTCAGAGGTATCTGAGAGGCTGTCTCTTGGGCTACAGTCCTCAGTAAGGTCCCTGAATAAAACTTAACTCGCAACTTTTACGTTGTGCATTTTTCTTTCAGTCAACAGTTTTGGTGACCATGAAAGGATTCAGAGAAGACTTCTCCTTTGAACTCTATGAGGATCCAGAGTCTTGGTACTAGCAGACGCCCCTTGTGCCTGTCTGCCTCGTCAGTGATTCCAGATGAATTTGGTTGAGTCTCTCCTGGGTCCTGGATCTCCCGTTATTGGCTGATGATCCTAAGTTTTATTTGGTGGTGGATAAACCCCTCCCTGTGAGGAGTAGGTCTTCCTTGAACTTAGTTTCAAGAAGAGGTACCTGGGTTGCCCCAGTTGAAAAACACTGAGTAGGTTCAGACTGAGTGATTAGGTAGGAGACTGGCCTGTTATTTTCCCTCGAATTGGTTACTTTAATTGAGTTTGTCAGAATAAAAGTAAAAATGTTACATGAGAGTTTTCAGCTCTGAAGAAGAAAAGGGACATCTCCTCCTGGCCAGCAATGGCTTTCTCAGGCAACTGAGAAACTTGCAGGAGTGGTGGAGGCAAGTCCTCATACCAGGTAGCAGTCCCATAGGGAAACCCAGTTATTTAATTTAAAAAACTTGCTCCTCTGGGGAACCACGTATAAGAGCTGGCCACTCAGTGATCTGAGCAACCACGGCGGTCTTAGATTGCCAAAGGGAAAAGCCAAGACATGTAAAAGAGCTGAAACGACTCTAGGGTGACACCTAGAGGAGTTAAACTCACAGACAGCACCTTGGCCCACCACACAATCATCTGTAGCAGTTCATCCTGACAAACCAACCCAGAATGGGAAACAAAGCTTTCAAAATAAAAAAAAAAGGAGCAACAGATTGCCAACCTCCAGCTAACACCCCAGCTTGGTTCATGTATGCTACCTGTGAAAATTATACTTACAAATGCTTACTTAATTGCGGAAAGTATACTAAAGGAAACCTCAACCTAAAATGGCCAAATTGGGGCTCTTTTCACGTTCCAAAATTAATTTTTGTGTGTGGGTCTACAGTTAAAGAGCAGACTGAATGGAATGCTTATTTTGATTGGTATTTAAAAACTTCTGGAAGAGGAAATGATAAACTAACTTCTTTGTAGGAAACCAACCAAAAAATTGCTTGAAACAACATCAGAATTTTTAAAAAGTTGCTAATGTTAACCATGCCTCACTCTCTGCTCCTCCCTCATATCCTCTTTTATACGAACTGCCTGATCCAGATGCCATCTCTCTCTCTCTCTTTCATCACCTTTGCCTCCTGCTGCTTCCTCTTTCCCCAGTAAAGGAGAAACTTGCACTTCTCTCCCCATGCCTTTAAGATGTAAACGTTCTAACTGATCTTTTTAGGCATTTTGTTCTGTGTTTGGAGAGCTTGGTCTCTGCCGTCCAGAACGTACACATACATTTGGCAGTCAGTCAAATAGACTGGGATTCCGAGCAGTCTCTTTAACTGTGCCAATTTTCAGGGAAATTTATCAGAAGGGGTCCCAGCCCCTAAGGAGCCTTTGTCATCTCCGCCTTTGTTGCATCGCCTCTACAATGCAGGCCTTTACTTTCTTAGACTATTTTGGGGAGTAAACTTTCTGGATCTTTGTGAAGGCTGCATCTGTAACAGGGAAGAGCCAATTCTGAATCCATGTTGGATCTGTTTGTTTTACTTTAACTTTTCACTGCTTTTGTTATTATAATCACTGTCTAAGGCTGTAAGCATCCTGCCACAGGGTACCAAAGTGTCTTTGCTCAGCTCACAGAGACATTTTGACCCTACCCACCTGTGAATGGCTGCAGAAAAGAAGAAATTAACAGATCCCCTCCTATTTTGCAAGATAAATGGCCTTTTTACTTTATTTCCTCACCTCTTCTCCCTCTCTGTTCTATAAAAGAAACTGGCATCCAGACCCTGATAAGATGGTTTGGGGGGACCCTAGTCTGCCATCTTCTCGGTCTGCCGGCTTTCCAAATAAAGTCGCTATTCCTTGCCTCAACACCTCGTCTCCTGATGTATTGGCCTGTCGTGTGGCGAGCAGAGTGAGCCTGGACTCGGTAACACATCCTCTGAATTCTCTCTTGAGGATGACTCTTGTGTCGTCTTGGTTTGAGTTGCTATTAAAATACTACTCATCGATGGCCAGACAATGGACCTTTAAGTTGGAGAAACTTCTAAATTGGTAAATTTTTAGAGAGTTCTCTTATAAATAGCTGTTTTATTGGTACCATGGAAAGACCAAATTAGAAGCTAATCTTGAGAACACCCTTAATTTAAAACAAATTAAACAAACAAAAAGTGGTTTAGGAAGCCTTATTTGTGGTCTTGGCTTCCCTTCAATGGGTCTTAGAGATGCTAATAAAAATATTAGATTAATTAATGTTAATTAAGTTGATTAACAAAGAAGAAGCTGAGGAGAAAGTCAAGAGACTTCTCCCCAACAAGGTGGAAATTTTAAAAGTACTCCTCCCAACAGGACAGAAATCTTTAGATGGTTATTAAGCAGTGGGATAAATAAAATGAATTGATGGGATTAAAACAAAGGTTTTGATACAACACCACCTAAAGTTGGATGAGCCAAAGAGACCCTATTAGCATTCCCCCCCAACATTAAAGGGACCCAAACAGGTCTGCTCTATTTACCCCAGTTCAAAAAAATTTATAAGGCTGGAAGAAAATTACCCTGAGATACTTGAGCAGCAATTGTTTGGGGCAACAGTTAGAACAATTAATCAAGTTAAAAGATTGACAAAAGGGCCTGAGTCCCTTGGCTCAACCCATCACTGTGGACCTCAAAGCCTTTTACACAAAAATGGATAAAATGGCCAGGGGATAAAAATGAAAGTTTCTGAGACTCCTTGTAAGACCAAGTCTTGTTAATGGGTCCTAATGGAAGCTAAAGTTAAAGATATAAGAGTTAATAGAATTGAGATGAAAGTTAATAAAAATTGATAGGCTTTATATAAGATGGTTACATCTCTTTTGCCTAATTATATTGTGGGATAGACATTATGTCTCAC